TCCGATTTCTTCCCACTTACGGACAAACATTCCTCCTGAAAAAGTGCGCCGAGATTCGGTGATGCATTCCTTGGCAAATGTAAGAACATAAGAACGTGAGCAATATTAACAAACAAGAGACGCCAATCAAATGCTAATTTATATGCTAATTTCTTTGTCAGAACACCTTGTTTGCTCGCACACAGGTCCGATGTCTGAGCGTGGTTGTGTTTCGCTAAATTCTCCTGTTTGATGAGTACTAGGTGCCTCGGTGAATGTATATACTCTAACTTTAACATAGCTATTTCTGTGACCAGTTACTAGCTAATCACTCAGCTATTTCAATGCTAAATTCGATGCTAATTCCTTTGTCAAGGGGCACCTCTGCGGATGTGTATACTTTAACTTAGCTATTTCAATGAGCCATTTCAATGCTAATTTATATGCTAATTCCTTTGTCAAAGCCCGTGGTCTTCCTCTTCTCACACAGCTTAAATGTCGTGATCTAAGCGTGGCTACTTCCACTCCAGCGCTGTCCTCCAGACAGGCTCGTCCCTTCACCTGATGAAGGCCGCTTGTGTTGTGGCCGAAACGTCGTGATTTTTTGTTATTTTATTTTCACCTACGTGACTTTACCCAATAGAACCAAAGAGTATGGATCCTAGCAGTCACATTCACTGCAAAGGGGGCATTGCGTGAAACGTCAAATCTATCACATCGCGCCGAGCAGAGCGGTCCCAATTTTAACGTGGAGGGAAAATCTGGATGCAGGGAGCAATTTGGCTGTCAATAATGGGCCTCTACGTTTCCAGCCGGAATATAAAATGAGCGTGGCAGAGCTGCCTGGTGGTTCCCCGCTGTGCGTTCTCTGTCAACTCGCAAGGAAACTTTCTCGCCGCGTTGCCGTCTCGGCCACCAATCCCACGGTCTGGCGTGCAACGCGCGTCACATGACCAAAGGTGCGTGCGTGCGTGCGTGAGAAGAATGGGGAGCGGTTAGCTCGCTGTGCTACAAACCCGGCGACTCCGAGTTCGATTCTCGTTCACGACCACCAACACCGGTGACGATTATCTGAACCGGTCATGGGCCTCCCCTAGGTCGACTCAGCCTAAAATGAGTACCTGGTGCGGTGTGTAAATACATCGCCACATTTCCACTTTGGAGACTAAAGCCAATCGGACGTGGTGCTGGAAACCCACCCCATCGTGTACCGTGCCGGCCTTCATACTGTAGGTGCTCGGTAACAGCACTTGCCCCAAAACTGTGTTCAGGCTATACGGGGAATTTTGTCTTTGGCTTGTGTACACGTGCAGTCAATACACTGCTGGATGAGGGCCTCCTTATACCGAAGTTGTTCGACCATGCTTCACCACGCTAGCCAGTGCGAGTTGAAGAGATTGGAAAGGTGGAGGCAGGACCTGTTCAGATATCACGCGCCACTGATGTTAGCCATGACCCGGAATCGAATTTAGCTTTCTGGATTCACAGTGCAACAACCACTGCCCTCACGCTTCCATTTTAAAATATAAAATTGCAATATTTAATCTTTAAAAAAATATTTAAATCTCGCCTTATAATCACTTTTCGATTTAAAGCTTTCGTGACTGCAAGGATTCATCTTCTTTGGTTCTTTCGGTAAAGTCACGTAGAATGAGAATAAAATAATAAAATAACACAATAAAATTCTCACGACGTTTCGGCCACAAGACGGCCGCTTGCGTTGTGGCCGAAACGTCGTGAGAATTTTATTGTGTTATTTTATTATTTTATTCTCATTCTACGTGACTTTACCGAAAGAACCAAAGAAGATATAATAACTTGACGAAAATTATTACGAAAGAATTAAAAAAATAACAAACAATTTTAATCCTGGAAATTCCCTTTAATGGACTTGAGCAAAGCACTGGGGTTGCAAGTTGCGGTGCACTTTTGCCAAACTGCTGCAGGGGCAAAGTGCGCAAGCAAAAAACAAAGTAACAGTGACATCACCGCAGCTCTCATGCCAGGCTAGGTGCACGTTGAGGCCACGTGATGTGTCCAAAGAACACAAAGACCCCGCCACCACGTAGCCCGAAACACCGCGCAGGTCAACACTCACGCCCCGGCCGCCTTTGTCTTCCCAGTGTTGAGATTTTTTTTGTTTTACACACCACAGTGCGTACTTATTTAGTCGATCCGAGGGAGCACGGGGATCGTTTTGACTATCACTCGCCACTGCTGTTAGTCGTGGCCAGCAGTCTAATCTAGGTGGACGGGTTTGTAGCGTAGTGCACTAACCACGATGTTAACACTGCCCGCTCACTCACTCCCACACATGCATGCAACGATAGATGTGGGGAGCGGCAGTGGCATACAGACCCTCGCTATCCGAGTTCGATTCCCGACCACGGCTAACATCGGTGGTGATTATCCAATAGTTTTTCTTTCTGAGCCCTCAATCGACTGAGCATGACATTGAGTGTCTGGTGGTAACAGCACTTGCAGGCTATACAGAGGATCTTTGTCTACACAGTATGTGTGTGTGTGCATGCGTGTGTATCGATCCCTCCGATACATTATACTCCAGCATTAGGCACGTAAATGCACATCGCTCCATTACCCGCAGTGCAGGCCTCTTTGAGCCGGACAACCACCAGGCACGGCTCGCTCGCTTCCCCCAACATCGAAGTGCGACACGGGCGCTCTCATCGCCGCAATTGAGCAAATTTCAACCATGGGCAATCCACTGCTGGATGAAGGCCCCCTCCTCCCCAAGCAGCAGCCATCTCTCACGATCCTGCGATGCAAGCGATTGCAGGATGACAGCGACGCCACTCTTCCTGCGCAATCACCCGGGCAACTGGATTTCTCACTCAATATATTCAAGATCAGTCAGAGCATGCAGGAGGCACGTAACTAGCGGCCACCGCCAAAGCGAGAGGTCTACCGGCTGTGGTGTGCCGGGAGCGTAAATTTGCTCCGGATTGCCTACCCCGGACAGACGCGGCTGAAATGATTCTCTGCATTCGTAATCACTGTAGGGAGCGGTGGCGCAGTGGTTATTATTAGCACCGGAACTACAAAACTTGCGGGAGTGAGTCTGATCGTGTCTGGCAAGTGATCTCTTATGAACTTGTCCGAACCTCCCCCCCCCCCCCCACCCGCTCTAAGTCTACCTAGCCTTAAATGAGTGTCTGGCGTCGTGTGTAAATACGGTAGACAGCACTGGGGAAGGCAAAGGCGGTCGGGCGTGGTGCTCGTCACACCATACGCTCGCACACCGTGCCGACTCTGAATAGGTCTTCGCTAATTACCACCTTGGCCCCGTCTTTGTTTACGACGCGTGTGTTAGGAGCGGCTGAGGTAATTAGATTGAGTTCCTGTATTGTTATCGATGTTTACGCACGGCCCTCGTGTTCGTTTTTAGTCTGAGGCCACCCTAGGGGAGGCCATGCCACACGTTCACATATCACTTGCCAATCGGGTGTCATTCGTGGCCGGGTATTGTAACCAGGTGGCCGCTTTGTAACGAAAGCATCGCAACTCCCCCATTACCTCGCTATTAAGGCCAACATATACACATGCGTACCGACACACTGGTACAAAGACAAAGATCCCTCCCCCTATAGCCTCAACAGACTGTTGGGGCAAGTGCTATTAGCGAGTACTCGTTAAGGCCGCCACGGCACACGAGGGGGTTTGGTACTGGGCCTCCCCTGAGTCCGAACCAGGACCGGTTCGGATATTCGTCACCGGTGTTGGCCGTGAGCGCGCGAATCGTAAAACCCGGTGTCGCCGGGTTCGTAGCGCAGTGCGCTAACCACTGCGACACCGCTCCCCACATACACATACTAAACAAAGACAAAGATCCCCCGTATAGCTTGAACAGACTGTTGGGACAAGTGCTGTTAGCGAGCACCTATTAAGGCCGACACAGCGCACGGTGAGGGGGGGGGGGGGGGGTTGGCCAGCACCACACCCGGCCGCATTTGTCTCCCGAGTGGCAATGATTACAAATCGCTACACATACACACACTGACAACACGCACAGACGCACACACACCGCAGACACACCGCAGACACACTGTCCCCACTCGGAGCGCATCGCCTCAATTACGCGCCGCAATAAGCGCGCCCGCGTGTCAACGCCACGGCAAGCGGTGTCTGACTGCTCGCACCGAGACCCCGCCACGCACGTTCACAGCCGCCGACGCTGCTCCGCTTACCCCACCGCGCGCACGCCCGGGTTCGACTCGTAGCGTGAGCGAGCGATGTCATTAGTTCTCGACAAACGTCCCTCCCCCCCCCCTACCTACGCCGTGCCGTCGCATTGCCACCGTGGGCTGTGTCTCGATGCGTGTGTATTTGTGCACGCGCGGCTTTGTGCTTTCACAGCTGACAGGTCTATTACATGCACGTTCGCGCGTGTACGGCACCGCGCTGGCCGCACTTGCACGGATTCCTGGCTGCACTTCACCGCACGGTGGTGTTCCCGCGCGCAAGGGTGCCGGCGAGCGCGTGGACATTGCTCGTTTGCGTGTGCGTGTTTATGCATTTGCATTGTGAGCGGGATGCACGTGTGCGTTATAAACGCGCGCGTGTGTGTCTCCGTGTATAAATTAGACGGTAACGTCTGCGCGCGCGCGCGAGCGAGCGTTTATGTGTTCACGCAGGCGTGTGTGTGTGTTTGTGTGTCTGCATGCACGAATAACAGACTGTTGGGGGCATGAACACAAGTGCATGGCATTTACATCGAGTGCGTATATATATGCGCGTGTGTGCATGCGTGCGTGCGTGAGTATGCGTGTGTCTGTATGTACGTGTACCAAGAAACGTTCGTGTACGCACGTGCGTATGTGCATCATGTGCTCGTCCACGTGTATGCATGCACGCGTGCGCGCGTGTGCCAAGCGCACGCATACACTGACACACACACACGATAAAGCGTAACACACACAGACGCACGCGCGGTTGTGCGTTAAGACACACACGCGCGCAGACACAACCGGAGACATTTACGAGGGGACATAAATCTCACTCACGCCTCGTCCGTCTGGTGGTAGTGATGGCTTCGACAGAGCAGGGAATGTCCGCACGCTTGCCCCATCCCGATCTCTCTACCCTCTCTGCCTTGCTCTCCCTCTCGCTCACGGAAATATATCGAGAGCACAGTATATATTAATATTATTATGGTGACGATGAATCAAGTGTTATTATTTAACGGCGGGCTGCCAGTCAGAGCGCTCCCAGTAGCGGCAGCAGAGATGCGTGGTTCATCGCCGCCGCTCTGAGCCTGTGCGCCACCGCTGGGGGACTGCGGGCGAGCGAGATGGGGCGCGTCTTGTCGCGCGCTTTTTATTCGTGCACGGGGCGTGTGTGCGCGTTCGGCACGTGTTTGTGTGTGTGTGCGCGTCAGGCACGTGTGTGTGTGCGTGCAGTACGCGTGTCAGTGTGTGTGCGCGTGGGGTACGTGTGTCAGTGTGTGCGTGCGTAAGGCACGTGCGTGTGTATGTGTGCGCGTGCGTTGAGCACGTGTGTGTGTGTGTGGACGCAAACACTATATGTGCACTGGCGGGGTGCACGCGTACAAAGACCAAGATCCCCCGTATAGCCTGAACAGACTGTTGGGGCAAGTGCTGTTAGCGAGTAGCAACTATGAAGGCCGGCACGGCACTCGAGGGGGTGGGTGACCAGCGCTACTTCCGGCCGCCTTTGTCTCCCCAGTGCTGATGTTTACACGTCTCATCAGGTACTCACTCAAGTCTGAGTCAACCTAGGGGAAGGCCGGAACTGGTTCAGATAATTACCACTGTTATTGGTTCGAGAGCGGAAATGGAACTCGGATCGCCGGGTTGGTAGCGTATCCCGTTAACCCTTACTCCACCACAATCCCACAATAAACAACAACCATGTACATAGAGACACACGCGCGCGCACGCATTTTGACGCCTCCGTCTCTTCGTCGGTGGAATTGGCTAGGGACCCCCACCTCCACACAACCCCCGGACCCGACCGAAGACGAGCGATTACGCAATCGTGATGAGGGTGATTCTGTGACAACCGCCTCCCCCTGAGACTGCAATTGGCGTGTTAGGGCTGCGCGCGTGTGCACGCGTGGGTTGTGTTCGCTCCTCTCCCCCCCCCCCCTCACTGCGCGTTATCGCTTTACGCGTGCAGCGACCGCTCCAGCGTCTTCCCGGATGTGCCGTGAAGACGCTGTTTGTTACGCGATCCTCGGCGCGCCGCTCCTCGACGATGTCTCACGCCTCGCCTCTCATCCTGCGGTTTTGCTCGAGTCCGAAGGATGCCGCCGATCTAATTAAACGCCCCCGTAGCGCCTTGCGTAATGCGCGACAGCGAGTGGATGGTGTCCGTCTGTGTGGGTGGTGGGTGGGTGGGTGGAGGGATGTGGGTGGTACTGTAGCGGTGAGCGCACTGCGCTACGAACCCGGCGGCCAGAGTTTGATACCCGCTCACGGCCACCAACACCAGCGACGATTATCTGAACCGGTCCTGGGACTCCCCTAGGTCAACTCAACCCCAAATGAGTATCTGGTACGATTTGTAAAAGAGAAATAAGCAATCGGGAGACGAAGATGGCCGGGCATGGTGTTGACCACCCACCCCCTCGTGTCCCGTCCCGGCTTTAATAGGTGTTCGCTAATAGCACTTGCCCCCATATAGCCTACAGTGGACTGCACATACCTACTATAATCACCCAGGAATGTCTGTCCTTAACGCTCGTGACGTCATTCCCCATCGACCAGCCCCCATCATTAATATTCATGAGCAGGTGACGTCCTCCAAATGGACCCCCCCTCATTCATAATAATCATGAGCTGGTGACGTCACTCCACATAGAACAGCCCCCCTCATTAATAATCATTATAAGGTGACGTCCTCCAAATTAACACCCCCCCCCCCATTCATAATAATTAGCGGGTGACGTCATTCCACATGGGGAGGCGAGGCGCCTCCTCCCCCCTCCTCAGCGTCAACTCACAACCCTCACTACAAAGGCAGAATCCTCACGTCACGTGATCTCCGTAATGCTGTTGAGACATAGAAGTAAAAAGGACGTCGTGATAAACAAGGGATTATAACCTTAAAATAAAATAAGTCTGTATCACCGCGGCCTTACAAATTGCACACTCATTGATGCAATGAATATATCACGTTGCGGTCTGATTTTCGCTTGCAAGTTTCAGATTTACTGCAATACACCCGTCCTTGGACGGGCAAAAGGCTAGTTTCCCAAGAATTATCGTTAACTGATAAGAGGCTAATTGTGAGTGTGGCTTTTAAACACTGGGGTGATTAGAGCCCCGTCCTTTGCAATAACCGATCATTCGTAAAAAAGATTAGTCCAAATAAACAACAATAACAACAACAAACAACCCCCGTCGTGAAGGTATAGAACCACAATTAGGCTTAAATTAGGCACGCGCATTATTGCAGCGCGGTCGAGTGGTGTGAATCGACGCGTGATTTCATCAAACCAATTATACATCCGTACAACGTGAGGCTTTTTACTCGCTAATCGCCAGCCTTTAATTTATCACGAGAGAGTATATTGTAGTCAGAATTTACACGTGTTACCTATACAGCCCTTTTGTCAATCCACTGCTGGATGAGACCTAGGTCACCCTGCGGCCCAGGTCACTCCTTGAAAATGAGGCTCGTCCTGGTCTCTTGAGTTCTCACCTGCTTAAATAAATACACTTCACTCGAGATCCCCCCTCCCTCCGTGTGGGTCATCGAGGTATTGCTTTGCCATGCTTCACCACGCTGGTGTGCGTGGCTTGGTGACGGAGAGTGAGACGCACGACCGTCGCATGTCACTCGCCACTGATGTTCACCGCAGTTTTGAAACATACTCTGGTCACGGGGTTCATAGCGCCGAGCGCAAGCCACGGACTGCTCCACCACCGCTCGCCCACTTGCAGAATCGTCTCATATCGCAGCGGCCGCTGGCGTAGATGCAGAGCAAAACAACTTTACATTTTCACATTCCAGGTGGTTAAGCACAGATAACCGCGTCAGGAGTCGCGGATTAGTGCCACCTACGGTGTTTGTGGATTCGGGGCGTTGCGTCGTCACGCATTGTTGACGGCCTCTGTTCTCGGTGACCACAGTCGCACCACTGCTGGAGAGTTTTTTTTATTACATTTTCCATTTGTGCACCATCAGGTATCCGCATCTACCGCCATAGTTTGTGCGAATGCGATTTAGGGTGGACCATGAGCTTCGTGGAAGAATAACCCCCCCCCCCCTCCTCCCCAGGGATCAGAATCATCATCATTAACCGTAATCAATCCGCTTCCTGGGCACTATTCTCTCCCGGGACCTCAAGTGGGAACTGAACATCAGCTCCCTCACCAAGAGAGCACAACAGAGGATGTACTTCCTACGGCAGCTGAAGAAATTCAACCTGCCAAAGACAATGATGGTGCAATTCTATACAGCAATCATTGAATCCATCCTCACCTCCTCCATAACCGTCTGGTACGCTGCTGCCACTGCCAAGGACAAGAGCAGACTGCAGCGTATCATCCACACTGCTGAGAAGGTGATTGCCTGAAATCTACCAACCCTCGAGGACCTGCACACCACGAGGACCATGAGGCGAGCGAGGAAGATTGTGGCCGATTACTCCAACCCTGGACACTCCCTGTTTCAGCTACTCCCCTCCGGCAGAAGGCTGCGGTCCATCAGGACCAAAACCTCACGCCACAAAAACAGTTTCTTCCCATCCACTGCTGGCCTCTTAAACAAGGCCAAGGGCTTACACTGACTTTAACATTTTATCTACAAAATTACACCTTGCCAATATTAAGTATGTTACCCTATTTGTATTTTTTTTATTTTTAGATTGTATCTTATAGCTATTTTATATTCGATATTTTTTAAATTTTATATACTTGAGCCCCTTGGTGTTAGTTAGACTTTGAACACTTATTATAGTAAGACTTGTTTACCACTTATTTAAGATTTTAGATTCCTACATTCATAATAAAGGTTTTTGGGTTAGATCACGTTATTTATAAATGTGTCGTAACCCTCCACCACCCGACACGGCCAATCAGCAAAAAAAAAGTGTCATGTTGACAAAAGACAAATAATTCACTACTTTAGCCCACCGGTGTGTTGAAGAGTGAATCCACAACATTAACAGTTTGAGTACGACGTTTCGCTGGTAAATACATCCAGCATCATCGGGCAATTCGCCAGAATGGTAAAGCCCTCGCTTGCTCCCGGTTTTAAATAGAGCAGCAGGGTGACGTCATCATTTAACTCATATCAGGTGCAGTGATTAGAGGCGGAGGGGGGGAGGTATTGTAATTATATAATCGATTAGTAATCAGTCATTGGTTATGATTAGTAATGAGTTGTAGATTAATAATTAGTTGTAATGTGTGTTAGTGATTATATGCTATGTTAGTAATCCGTTAATTAGTATGTGTTTCCCCTATAAGGAATTGTAATGTGCATTCATATTCTTAGCTTCCTCGGCAAAGCCACACCGAAGGGAAACAACAAACATATATATTCTATTATTTTATTACTTCCCCCCCACGCGACTCCACTGAAAGAGCCAAGAACATGAATCACTGCAGTCACGAAAGCTTTAAATCAAAATGTAATGTGTATTATTTAATAATACGCTTCCAGGCCGCACTAAGCCTGTAGCTGTCAGAGCGATTAAAGTTATTCTTATTCCTCTCAATTTCAATGGATTCTCTAATTAGTCTTTGCCAGTAATAATTAGTTTTACACAACACTGCAACATTGTCAAAATCAATTGAGTGTCCTTGTTGACAAGCATGTTCTGCCACTGCCAACAGTTGTGTTTGAGATAATTTAATATTTCTCTGATGTTCTTTTAGTCTTACGCTGATGTTACGTCCTGTCTGTCCAATATAGCATCTGCCACATAAACAATTAATCCGATATACACCTTCTGTTGATAATTTAGGTAATGCATCTTTAGTGCAAGATACTAGTTTTTGAATTTTGTGTACTGTACCAATTCTTACTGTAATGTTTTGCTTTTGCAAAACACGGGCGAATTTGTCAGTTACTCCTGAGATATATGGAATTTTTATTGTTTTAACAATCTGGTCGCTTTCAGCAGTATTGCTTTGCGAAAAGCGACGAAAGTTGTTAAAACATTAAAAATTCCATATATCTCAGGAGTAACTGACAAATTAGCCCGTGTTTTGCAAAAGCAAAACATTACAGTAAGAATTGGTACAGTACACAAAATTCAAAAACTAGTATCTTGCACTAAAGATGCATTACCTAAATTATCAACAGAAGGTGTATATCGGATTAATTGTTTATGTGGCAGATGCTATTTTGGACAGACGGGACGTAACATCAGCGTAAGACTAAAAGAACATCAGAGAAATATTAAATTATCTCAAACACAACTGTTGGCAGTGGCAGAACATGCTTGTCAACAAGGACACTCAATTGATTTTGACAATGTTGCAGTGTTGTGTAAAACTAATTATTACTGGCAAAGACTAATAAGAGAATCCATTGAAATTGAGAGGAATAAGAATAACTTTAATCGCTCTGACAGCTACAGGCTTAGTGCGGCCTGGAAGCGTATTATTAAATAATACACATTACATTTTGATTTAAAGCTTTCGTGACTGCAGTGATTCATGTTCTTGGCTCTTTCGGTGGAGTCACGTTGGGGGGGAAGCAATAAAATAATAGAATATATATGTTTGTTGTTTTGTTGTTTCCCTTCGGCGTGGCTTTGCCGAGGAAGCTAAGAATATGAATGCACATTACAATTCCTTATAGGGGAAACACATACTAATTAACGGATTACTAACATAGTATATAATCACTAACACATATTACAACTAATTACTAATCTACAACTCATTACTAATCATAACCAATGACTGATTACTAATCGATTATATAATTACAATACCTCCCCCCCTCCGCCTCTAATCACTGCACCTGATATGAGTTAAATGATGACGTCACCCTGCTGCTCTATTTAAAACCGGGAGCAAGCGAGGGCTTTACCATTCTGGCGAATTGCTCGATGATGCTGGATGTATTTACCAGCGAAACGTCGTACTCAAACTGTTAATGTTGTGGATTCACTCTTCAACACACCGGTGGGCTAAAGTAGTGAATTATTTGTCTTGTCAACGTGACACTTTTTTTGCTGATTGGCCGTGTCGGGTGGTGGAGGGTTACGACACATTTATAAATAACGCGATCTAACCCAAAAACCTTTATTATGAATAATATTGGTCGCGAAAGCCTACGTGTTAAACAGATTCCTACATGTTGAATGTATGCACCATCCTGCCAAAGTAAATTCCGTGTCTGTGTGAACTTTCATGGCGAATAAAACCCTTTCTGATTAAGACATTCACATGAGCTGTGCGTCCTCGATCGTGGTCTCGTGACGCATTAACTCACGTGCCACCTGCACGCGAGAGCTGCTTTCATCGCTCCATCTCCGCGGTGGAACCGCCCTCTCGGTCGTGTCGCTCTCCTCCCTTTTGCTGCCGCTCCGTCGCAAGTCTCGACCATAAACTCCCTTCGAGCGACGTGTCCAGCCCAAGCCCATGTACAGGGTAATGGTCCAAATGTATTGTGACCCCCCCCCCCCCCCCCCAATTATTCATTGAAGCCTAATACATTTTTTTCCCTTTGCAAAATAATTCATGTTTTAAACAAACCTTTCAAAAAAATGTTTTTATTAAAGTGTTACAGAATTAAAGCGGGGGGTGGGTCCCAACACATCTGTACATCTCAGGATGGTGCTGCATGCACCTTGGGATGTTCGCCCAGTTACTTAACCCGTTATGTTGCGTACGAGAGGAAAGTGGAGTGCCCGGAAAGAAAATAAAAAAAAAACACTTTGTGCGGTGGGATGTCAACACTCAAGGCACTCATTTGTGCAATTGGACGGGACGCGCCGATGCGAGATTTGGTTGCTGTGCACCATTCCAGGCGCGTACAAAAAAAATGAGGCGCCATTTACTTTCGTGTGTAACTGTTGGTCCGAATGAACCCGTGGGTAGTTTTGAGAGGCATTCCACTTCAGCCTTCAGAATCTGTCACGTGACTGATACAACAGGCGTAGTGGAATCTGCGCCCATAAGCCCATCGCCGCGCTGGTGTAAGAAGTTGTTTTGTTCGATTCGTAACTTGCGTCGCTATTCGACTGACCCCAATACAAATTCTGCCAAATGGATCAAAAAGGTTTGCCCCCTAGCTTGAACAAAGCGAACCATGGCAGAGCAATACCGATAATGAGGCAATGTCTCCTTCATACATGTCTGTCCCTCCACATTACAAAAACAAACAAACAAAAAACCCACTGGTCGCATAGCCTGCTAGCGGCGCATTACCCCAGTCGCGTTTGTTTACAAAGAGCACACTTTCTGGGACCCGTTTCAACGTACGGCAAAGCGTGTCTCATCGGTAAGCTTGGTACAACAACGCCGTGGTGCTGACGCGAGTTTGCTTGCACTGAAACGACGCCCGCCGAAAATGATGCGCTCCCGCGAGCCAATAGAGCCGATGGGTTGTGGAAAAATAACGTGTGTTGCGTGTGTGGAGAGACGGATATCAGAATGAGAAGAACTTTTCATTTTACTCGAGGAATCCGACGTGCGACAGCGACACACTCTACCGTCGTCAATTATGTATTCTCCACAACGACCGTGTAATGCATTTTCGGAGGAAGAGACTATTTACAAACTATACAGCTACTAGTCAGCTTCCTTACATACGGCTCAAGAAAAAGCACGTCCGAAGAGAAACACACACGCGCGTGCACGCGCTGGAAATCGTTCAATAGGCACATGCGTACGCGTGGTTTTTCCTCCTTGCTTCGCGAAGCGCGCACACACACACAGAGAGACAGAGAGCGAGCGAGCGGTTTCGCTCGTTGCTCATAGGGCCCCGAGTCTCATACCAGGCGGCAGATGGCGCAACCGAAAAGCCTTTCACCCCATCGCGACGGGGCAGCAATCGCGCGCGTCCCCACGTTACTGTCGACATTTAAAACAAACAAACAAAACACAGCGCGTTCACAAACGGTGACGGTGAATGAGAAAGCAAAATTTTACTTTAACTCGTGCGAGCGGAGTCGTTTTTTTTAATCATAATTGGAAACCAAGTTTGAAAGTGCGTGGATCAAATGTCTCTCTCACGTGGCCCCCGCCCCCCACCCCAAATTGCCAGGGTGCTTCTTTGCGAGCTCCTGTTAAGAGAAGCATAGGTCAGTGGGATTTGCCTGGTAAGATGGGGATTGTGTTTAGTGTTGTATTTGCACGTGTTCGGGCGATTTGTTTACTTTTCTTGCACTTTGCACTCCTAGCGTGTGTTTGTACTGTTTGTTGTTGTAACCTTCTTACCCGCCCCGACTGGACATCTGTGAAAGAGCTTTATAGCTCATCGGACTCCTCCGGTATAAATACATATTCTGATTCTGTTTATCTGACAATAATGGGGGGGGGGGGGGGGGGGGGGGGGGGCTGGTATGATCGGTACCATGTCCGTGTGGCCACCTTTGTTCGCCTAGTGCCGTCTTTTCGCAACGTACAATTACCTCTGTGCCCAGTCGACCAGGAATAGGTCCGTGGGCAGGTTGAGACACCGACTGCCAGCGATGCACCAGAACGTACACATTCACAGTGTCATCAAAAGTCCACACATTCATTTGTGAGCAAATGCATTTTAGTATCACATTAAATCAAAATATTGACTACATATGATGATGCTGATCATGAGCCAGATTTTGTTTTCGAGCTCAGATAAGCAAGTTAATCTTATTATTTTTTGTGAAACAACTCAAAATGTATTCACCCAGGAAGTCCTCGCTGAGTCTCACGATTTTTCAGAAGGGTCATGAAAAGAATTTATTCATCTAACACTTTACAATTTCGAGTCATATCAGTATCTAAATGCAACCTGCGAAGACCATTAATGGACTACACTTGAGAACCCAGTCTAACCGTGGGTATTTACCCGGATCTCCAACCCAGAATCTCTGCGATGCCATCTTATCGCTTTAGGCGAGACCTCCACATGCATTTAAGTGCACAGCGTGATGCGAAGGCACTGCGCATTCGAGATGCTCCCAGCATCTTGATGTGCTTCTTCACTGACTCTCTACATTGCATTACATCTCAGTGCTGTGACACCTTAGCCATCAAAAGCCAGGCTGCGAATCATGTAGATAACGATGCACCAATTGATCGATTTAAATCTCTTTCTATGCTCGCGATACGTGCATGGCAAGCAAGCGCGTGGGAATACCGTACGTAGATCGTTTAAAAGTGTTGTAAATCATCACGAATGAAAACGCACTCGTTTTACATCTGGGCTCTCGGCGAAAATTTGGAACTGGAGCAGTGAGACGAGACAAACGAATCCGATTCATTTAATCGAATCCCAACCCCGGAAAATGACAACTCATCAAATCACTCTGGGCTGGGGGGCGGGGGGTTAGGGGAATTGTTGCAGGTTCAGTCATAATAGACGTACCACTCGCAACTGCCGGTGGAATCGAGGCCATGGATTCCCAATGGGGTCTCGAAAAAGGCGCCAGGAGGGCCTTAGCAGAAGAGGCCTCATCTGGCATTTCGCCCCTGGCTTCCAAAGACCCGTTGGGGCGACACTGAGCGCACTACCCACAGTGCGAGTGTGAATGCATTAGCTATGACCTTTGCGTGTGCGTCTCTCTGTGTAATGCGGGGCGGTCGCGGTACTCTTCGCAAAGATGATCCAACCTGAACGAAAATTTGAGTGTAAAGTTGCGCTGCTATCAGGGACTTCACCTGCAGGAAAAACACATTGATCAAAGGGTTGCCCAAAACTTGGCGATAAATCTGGAGAGCTACAAGCCAGAGCGAACATGACTTCACACGTCATGCGTGGGCCTCGTCTATACCCCATGGCATAGTTACGTGCGACATCATCTTGCGGCTGCACACGCCAAGCACCACATCACATCGTCTCGTTGAGCAGCGGCTTTATAAAGCATCGTCGTCACTAACCAAATACTTCCGAGGACGAATGCGTGTTGCAAAGCGGTACGGAATCTACGCGCGCGACCGACTGTTCTTCCACCTCTTTTACAATCTCTGCGGCCCGGAGCGACCCACCCACCCACCGCGACTACACGCGAGCGACCCACCCACACGCCGCGGCTACACGCGATCGAGCGCAACGCCGTGACCCAGGACCCTGTCCGCCGAAACGGCGCGGCCGGCGACCCCCCTCGCCGCGACCCCGGGCAGCAGCTCGCCCCTCTGCAGCGAAGCGGCCAGGTCCCAGCGACCGGCGCGCGCCAGGTGCTCGGCGAGCAGCGCCCGCTTGTCCGCCCAGGCGGGCAGGCCGCCCCGCCAGTGCGCGAGGGCCGCCATCATCCCCTCCGTGGCGGCGGACGAAGACGAGGACGGGGTCGGCTCGCCGCCGGCGGCGGCGGCGGTGCCGCCGGGGTCGGTGTCGAAGGAACGGGCGCGCTGCGCCGAGCGTCCCCGGGACTGCAGGGTGGCGCGGCGCAGGCGCAGGGAGCCGGCGAGGCGGCGCGAGTCTCGCTCCGACAGCTCCGACACCAAGCCCAGCCACGCACTGCCGCTGCCTGCCAAGCGAGGGAGGAGAGGGGGTGGGAAGAGCTTTGGATGTTGGTCGGCGCCGGCGGAATTCGCGAGCCGAGTGGAGTGAGGCCATCCCTTCAACGGAATGAGACGCGTTGTGGGCCTGGCAAGGGTGGCGCAGCGGTAACACTTGTGCCTCACGGCAAACAAGTTCCTGGGTTCGATTCCTGACTAGTTTGTTGTCGATTCTCCCCCTGTTCTGCATGGGGTTTCCTCCGGGTTCTCCAGTTTTCTCCCACAACTAAAAAAAAACTATACAATGTTACTGGCATTGGCCAACACATTTCAATGCAGGACCCACCTGGAAATGAGTCTGCGGACCAAATCGTGGCTTTCCTGGGTAAAATAAACAATGAGTATTATTAATACTATGAAACGACGTTCGTATTTCTGACCAATGTCATTATGTGACTGAGCTCCCAACTCAATGACGCAAACATATCGTTGTAAACTGGAAGCAATTGCGGAAGCGCAATTGCTCATCTCTTGTGTAAACAGATAATGAGTCTCAACGGGGCTTTCATGTCTTTCAATAAAGGTCATTGTGGGTTGTTTTATTACATTACAAAATGCCGGTGTGAATTCTTGTAGACCCATCTATAGCACAGCAATGTACGATATCAAGGCGTTTACTCGGTGTATCAAAGCGTCGATTTGTGGACATTGATCATTATGCCGAACAACACGTGTGCATATTTTTTACTCCGATGCCTTTCTGCGTGGAATCTCTTCCGTTAGAGTCCTTCTGTTCGATTCGCATACATGCCGTTTATTTCATAGGATCGTGTTACCCATGATTCTGTGTTCATCGCAACGTGAAAGGGAGAATAAATTCTCGAAATCGAAAATCACGTCCCCCAAATCGTGAAAATGTATCACTTTGCCGCGGGGTTTGGTGAGCGTCGCTTGCACCCCGAGCATTTAGTCCGTCATACCCCATGGGCCCACGATATATGTCGCCCTTTTAAAAAGTGTAAGGAAACTGGAGTACCCTGAGAAAAGCGGTGCGTGCTAAGGAGATAATACTTTCAGACAGTGTGGTTCACAAACCCACTTCCTGTGCCACGGTCTCCCAGCCACCTTACAGCGCAGCAAGTCAGAGAGCTTCACCAATCTAGGTGATTCGTCAACCCTCGTGTGGATGACAGGCGTGTGTCACCACGCCCGACAAATTAGTTTTTTTATTGACCGTATAAAACAAAATTGACACCGTGAAGAGTCTTATCGACACTGGTGGTGCTCATTTCTGCCGGGGCACGTGCCCCTATCATGTTGACTCGGGCCACCACGCCGGTGAGTTAGTCATTTTTTTTTCAATGCAAACATTTAATCAGCGTGTCTAAACGTGCCCACCAGCCTCCCCACCAGCACTTGAAAATGATGCCACGACACCCCAAAACTCCGAGCCTTGCACTTGGTTCGCAATCGCAATACTGGATCAGCTGCAAGATTGCCCTTTTTTAAGACTCTCCATGGACTCACCCCCACCCACCTCGGCCCCTCTCACCTCGCTCTACTCCCACGCTCTCTCTTCTCTCTGGCCCAGCAATCAAGGCCCTCCGTCAAACAACGCTCAACGGGAAGTCACTCCTCGTTCCCTGCCGCTGCGCCGAATGTCTGGAACTCCCCTCGTGCGCCCATCCTCACTGGCGATCGCTCCGCGAGATTAACTCCAGACTCGCAAAGTGCCTTCGTCTTCTCCGCGGGCTCTGAGTGAATGCCTCAAGCCCACTCTCCCTGTGAAGTGTCTCCGTGTATCACACTCTTGCCAAACAGCCGTCTCGTCACTTTCTCAGCGCCCCCCCCCCCCCCCGTCAGCATTTTAACCCTCGCTCTCTCCTCTCTGGCATACGACTACGAATTCGAAACAAATCTTCAATTCGTCTCATGTCTGCACGCTTTGCCTATTTCTGCAGCGCCTTGAGATGCGGCCACGTCGAGATGCTTCATAAACCCAAATCGCCCTTGTAAAAAAGATGCCAGCGGTGGCGTGGTGTGTTTGCCACGGACTCTGGTGCAAGGAATCAAATGGGGCCCCGTCCTGTCCAATTTTTGTCTCCTGCGCCCCTCTGGCCCCTGGGGCCTGGTGCAGTTGCACCGCCTGCACACTCGATAGCTCCTCCTCCTCAGGACACAATCTGCGGAGAGGGCACGGCGCTGTAGGCAACGGCAGCGAGGCACGCACCGTCTTGATCCAAGCTCAGCATCCTGGAGCTCACGGGGCGGCTGAGCAGTCGCTCTTTCTGCAACAACAACAACAACGACAACAATGACAACATGTCGCATGGGAAGGCTTTGAAGGTCACGGGGAATCTGCCCTTTCGCTGCCCTTTAATTGCACACATTAGTCACAATGACGGCAAGTGCCCTGGCGATTTGGCACCAGATCACGGTGCAAAGCAGTTGTGAATATCGTCATCAGTCTCATCATCAGTGTCATCATCAGTGTCATCATCATTAGCGTCATCATCAGTGTCATCATCATCATAGTGTCATCATCATAAGTGTCATCATCATCAGTGTCATCATCATCATCATCAGTGTCATCATCAGTGTCATCATCATCAGTGTCGTCATCATCATCATGACCATCACCATCGTCAATATATTGTCACCAGCAACACGAACAATTCACTCACGGTCCTATAATGCCATTTATTTAGGGAAGCTTCACTGAGTGACAAATTATTTTTTTCAGGGTTCAACCACTCACGATTAAACTGGGTACTCGTGATATGTTTATAAAACCGATCGCATTAAATTCGCGTGTTTTTTCCACATAACGTGGCAATGACTGTAGGCCTGAAAATGAAAAATCTCAGTTCGACCACCATGCGACAGACATTTGTTCGTGCGGACCATGTGGGGAATTGCGGTGGCCGCAGTGTGGATAAGAGGGCACTTGAAAGCATCTCTCTGATGTCTCCTTCCACGGGGAGCTTCCTGCCACGCAGTGCTGCACTGCTTTAGCAAGAGTCTCGAATGAACTCTCCCACTCGACGCAAGACACAGGTGGCGCAATCAGAACGAAGTTAGGCAAAGGACAAACACATAATTCAACTGCCGCACGAATATATTTTTGTATGAAATCATAATTTACAGCTATTTAATTTGCCGATCCGCCGCTAGGTCTTCGCACACCACGTTGGTCATGAGGGGTTGTTTACCCATACTTCACCATGGTGGTCAGAGCGAGTTAGTCAACGTTTGGGGGTGAGGGCGGGGGGGGTTCCCAGGATCGGTTCAGCTGTCACTCGCCGCCAATTTTAGCCGAGCGCGGGAGTCAAAATGTTCTGGGTCTGCGGGTTCATAGCCACGTACCAAGGACCACACATTTAGCGAATTACGTTTCGTGTGTTTGCGTAAAGCCTTCTGTGCGCCTGTGCAATCGGCACCAAACTCTTCTGCAATCCGGCCAGCAGCCCCGAGACGCCCAATCTTGTATACATGCCGGACAAAGTCCGTGCATGTTTGGTCAGGTGCATTGCATATATTCTAAGCACTTCAAGAGAAATCGGTGGGGGGGGGGGGGGGGTTCTGTGGGGGTGGGGGGTATTATAAAGAGTGGGCTCACCCCACAGATAGTGAATGCGTGTTCTTTCAACATCGCTCCTTCAAAGCCGCTGCAAGAGCACACGTCCCTGGCGGGTCAAACAGACAAAGTGAGTGCATTAGCGCCTCTTTACCTTTGCCAGTGTGACCACGCCACCCGGAGCGCCACGCACGGCGCGCGCTTTCTCTCTCTCTCTCTAGCTCTCTCGCTCTCTCGTCAGATCTCGGCAGCTGAGCAGGGCTCAGCCTGGACAAGCGCTGGGAGCACGGGCCGCCGTGCGTGCGCGTGCGTACGGCAGGTGCGTTACAGGCTGCCGCGCGGGGGTTGTGCCACTCGGCGGGCAGCGCAGAGGGGGGCAGCGCAGAGGGGGGCAGCGGAGAGGGGGGCAGCGGAGAGAGGGGCAGCGTCGCGTCACTGTGCCGCTTCATTCCATGCGTCTCGCGTCAACGCTGCCCGCAACCGCCGGTGATGACCGGCGTGGTGAAGTCCGGACGAAAACAAAAAGAGCCAGGTCCCCTCACCCACGCACCGCTCCCCCCCTCCCCCCCCCCCCCACCTTGCCACCGCCACCTCCAAGATTCACACGGTGTAGGGAAGCTACTCGTCCAGCAGTGGATTTCCAAAAGGGCTGTAACGTGTACATGCGCATGGATCCTGATGCTGACAATTACAAAGGCAACTGTTTGGGCTTTTTGTCGTTTCTGAATGTTCTTGTGATACAGCTGATTAAGTGCAGTCTAAATAAAAGATCCCATTTCGTGACGCGCTTCTGAATTGCCTTGATTGTTATTCCATTGCCGTGGAATCGCCACGCGACTGCTTGGGGGAGGCCTTCATCCAGCAGCTGATTGATCGTGGCTGACGTTGACGATGAAATATCCGCCGAAGCTTTCGACAAAACAGCCAAAAACGTCCCCATTTGTGAGAGGGAAGCCCAAATGGAACAAGAAGCTTTTTTGACACGCGACAACTACATGCACGCATTGCACACTGCGCACGCACGCACGCGCGCGAGTACCTTTGGCAAGGCGAGTGGCAGCCTGCAGCACGCGAGGCTGCTGTCGTGGGCCGCGGGCCACTCCCCGGCCTCGATCTGGCCGCGGTCCCTGCGGAAGAAGAGCGCCGCGCCCTTGTAGTGCGGCGAGCTGCGGTTGGCGAACTCGTCGCGCGCGCCCAGCTCCAGCAGCGCCACGGAGCGTCTCTGCGCGTGGAACGTAAGCGTGGCGCACAAGGAGTCCGGCGCGGCCCCCGCCACGCCCGAGACGGCCGCCGCCGCCGCCGCCGTCACGTTCCCCGTGACCTTCGCCACGAGCTGCTCGCCCTCCCGCATGGCGAAGACGGAGGTCAGGGACGGAGCGCCGTCGTAGCCCTCCTCGGCCAGGCGCTCCGACTCGCGGTCGGCGTCGCGCGCGGCGACGAGACGCAGGGCGAGGCGGCCGGGGTCGGAGGCCCGGAACCGCGCCACGATGCGGCACGCGGTGGACGACAGTGCCGCCTCGACGCCGCGGGCAAAGCGAGCGAGGAGGGCAGCGTCGACGGGCGACGAGACGCGCGCCACGAGCAGCCTGGGCGGGAGGCGCGGTGACAACAGCGGGTCGCTGTGCGTTGGTCGCGAGCTGCGATCGTCGGCGTCGTCGTCAGTCGCAGGCTAACAGCGGCGGTCGCTTCCCGATGGCGCGCGGCAGGACGGTTTTAAAAAAAAATCAATCGCCCTCGTCGTTTGCGAATGCGTGAACGTTCGTCGCGTGGCCGACCGCACGTGGTGACTAACACAGCGGGCACGGACAGCGGTGATGTCAAGCGACAGCCGATGCCATCGAATGAACGGTCAAACTCAACACACGGTTAGAATGTTCCGCCACTTGATCTTCAAATGCCATATGAGAGAGGTAACCACCAACATCACGGTCGTCATTATCATCGGTACGAATATTGTCAAAAGCAGATATCTGAACCTAAATAAATGGAACGTGCGTCTACATAAACGCAGCGGAAAAAAAAATAATCTAACGTGGCAGATTGTTACACGACTAAGTGTAGGTCTTCGGAGCAAGGCTCCTGACAGCTCCATCATGCTACAGGAAGTCTCTCGCTGATGGGACTGTTTCCAGAACTTTCAACGATCTGTGAGCTATCTCGACACAAAGCAGCCTGGTTAAACGCAGGATGGATCCTAGTCAGGATGGTCAGACCGGCGCAGGTGTCACCGCAAAGGGGTAAGCGATTTGCAAGCATAAAGAGAAGCCAGCTTCCACACGGCGTTATGCAGCCAATGAGAAGGAAATGCTGCCCAACTGACTTGTTCGTAATAATAGGGTTTTTCCCCTTTTTTCTGGCAACAAAACTGAAACCTTTTTTTACAAGGATTCACGTCTGCATTAACCACAATACCTGCAGTCAAAATGCAAATAAAAAACATACAAAAAACATACTATTATCATACCATTATCATAGTATGTTTTATTACATTTTGGTACTGCCAAAGGAGGTCTAATGATAACCTGTTCGTGTTTTTAGTTTTTTTGTTTGTTGTGGTTGCACCCGATTCAAGAGCCGAATGGCTCACAGGGCTATACTAAAATAAATAAAATAAAACTAAAACTAAACTGTGTCCCTATGATCACTGTTACGTTGTAATTATGGCTTTATTTTTTGGTGATTTCGAAAAGTTTTTTGGTTTGGACATGTTTGTTTTGTTGTAGTACGGAGTTAAACTGACGGCCTTAATCTAAGTTGTATTGTGGTTGTTGTTGTTGTTTGACTTGCATCCCACTGGGATTTTTTGCACACAGTGTTGGTGTACGGTGCTCATTTCAGGAATATTTTGCTGTTTTTTCAATGGATTTTCTGTTTGCGCAGTCACATAGTCACTTTAAGATGTTATCTTGTTCGTGTTTTTATTTTTTTGTTTGTTGTAGTTGCACCCGATTCAAGAGCTGAATGGCTCACAGGGCTATACCAAAATAAATAAACTGAAAACTGAAAAAAGTGAGACCTCCATTGACAAATCGGAACTAGTCATGAGCACACCATTCAGGTATGGGAACCGCTCTGCTCTTTCCCCAAATGCCCCATAGCTCGCAGATATTGAGGGGGTGGAGTATTCGATGACTAAAAATATTCCGGCTTATATGCCCCACTAAAACCCCACTAAATATACATAACGAATAAACACTCATCATTCGGCCGATAAGACCTTAAGATATGGAGGACCGCAAAGCTTGGGACAGGCCCAGGTGCCATGGGTGGACCGCCTGTGCTCCCCAATGTGTATTTTTTTGTTCTTTCCTGCTCTCTAGCTGCCCGGCGCTCTGCCCATAGATGCAAGTGTCGCTCCTACACCCTCCATTGCTGTTAAGGGAGGGGGGGGACTGCCTCCAACTGCCAAGTAGCCTCCTTTACGAGCCCCCTACCCGATATACGCAGCACGAAATACACACACACAAAGATTCCCCTTGAAGCCTTAATAGAGTCTTTGGGCAAGTGCTTTAGCGAATAGCACCTACGAAGGCCGACACGGCACACAAGCGGGGTGGGCGGTCGGCACCACACCAGGCCGCCTTTGTCTCTCAAGTGGGCGATGTTTACACATCGCACCAGGTGCTCATTTGAGGCTGAGTCGACGTAGGGAAGGCCCAGGACCGGTTCAGAAAATCGTCACCGGTGTTGGCCTGCAAGCGGGAATCGAAATCAGCGCTAACGGCTACACTACAAAGACAAGGATCCCCCGTATAGCCTGACGAGTCTGTAGGAGCAAGTGCTGTTCGCAATACAACAACCGCCATTCGCCACTAAGTAGCGGTGACGTCACCACCACGCTTGTGCCAGGCCACGTGCACCTTGAGGCCACGTGAAGTGTCGAACGCCCGCTGGCAGGAGGTCACGGGGCAGACCCAGCAGATGCCACGGGTCGACTGACTGAGATGACTGGCTGATGCACCACCTGTGCCCCCCTACTGTGCCAACCTGCTGTGCTTTAGCCGCCCGGCGCTGTTCGCAATGCGCACATGCACACACGCACACGGGGTGGTGGGGAGGGGCACCTGTGCACGGGCGAGTCGAGCTCCAGGGTGACCAATCCCTTGTGGAGGTTGCGCAGGGACGCGCAGTCCTGCACCTCCCACTCGGGCGGCGCCGTGGGCTCGGCGCTGCGCAGCACCAGCAGGCGGAGGTCACCACCTCCGTGCTCTCTGCTCCGCGAGCTCACCGACCTGCGTGAACCCGCGGGGGGAATGATCCCGCTCACACAACGGTCACTCATACCGCAGGAGTCCGACGGGCTATGAGGCTCTTCTTCGTCCAGTAGGACGAGTCTGCGCTTCGCTCCACCGGGTTTTGCCGACGCTCCCTTGAATCGCTCGCGAATCCGTCACGTTTCGTCTTTACAGTTAAAAAAAACACAAATCAGCCGTACGTTTTGATTTTACGTCGTGCGCAAAGACTCGCAAAGACTTCTGAGAACCCCTCCGTGCATAATTTAGAGACCCTTCAATCAATCCCTCGGGACAATCATGGAAATGTCCTCATGTACACCAGCATTGGGGATTAAAACATTGGACTGACATGTTCTTAATTTAATCCGTGAAATTGTCAATAGATCCAAAGGTTATTTTCGAGCAGGGTCCTAACTGTGGATGATGCTTGGCCAGTCGCTCATCGAACCATCGTTGTTACCAAGCCTGGTCTTGAGCTCTCCTGTGCAGATTAATTCTCCAATTCTCGTCGGAGCCAATAACTCGTAGTAAGCCACGGGATTTCTCTATAAACGATTCCTCGTGGTCCACCTACCTACATCCTTCAGTCGACCAGCGTTAGCTCCCTGTCAATTTTATGGTAAATTAAGTCGCTACGTGCAGCACGCGATCGGTGGCCCAACCGATTTTGGCGCGCGGGGTGAAAGTGCGCAGCTGCGAGAGGACAACACTCAAAGCTCCGCACAGATAGATTCTCAGAATCCATTGCTGAACTGCCATCCACCCGGTATTCCCAGATAGCCACACACCCAAGTACTTGGTCAGAGTCACATGACAATAATAAACACGTTTGTATTGTTTGCAAGAAGATCCGGAGAAAAATCCACGCGACCACGATTCTAAATGTGAAGGGGGAAAAAACACCACGGGGGAGTGACATGCAACTACAAATATACAGCAGCAGGCGTCAGGCTCGGGATCGAACCCACGACCGCCTGTATACCAGGCGAGGCAGTTAACATCCTGCTGGATGCGCTCATCAAACCGAAGAAACACGGCGAGAAAGACACGCAAACTCCAAAGACACAGGCGTCAGGGTCGGCATGGAACCCACGATCTCCTGCATACCAGGCGAGGGAGTTAACATCTCGCCACCGTGGTGGACATACCTGGTGGCCCCGGCCCTGTGAGCGCGATCCAGCGGCGGCGCAGGTCCCCGCCCGTCCGTCTCGGTACCCGCGGCCTTGTGCTCAGGGGCCGGCGGGCAGGGCAGGGTGATGGCCACGGGCCTGCGGAAGGCCTGGCCCGACGGGTAAGCCAAGTGCAGGAGCGGGCTGCAGCTGGCAACGGCCCGGAGGGCAGAATCGCCCTCCCGCGCAGCCGCCAGAGCCGCCGTTTCCACCGCCTGAATCTTTTCGGCGATTATTATTGTTTCGGACATCGTCGATTCAAGCGCGCACACACACACACACACGCGCGCGCACACAAACCGATGGATCAGTACGGCAACCGTCAAAACATTACCGCGCACCCACTGATCTTGAGTTGTATCCCTGGGTGGAAGGTTGCGAATTCAGATTCTGGGTCTAGGTTCGACTCTGCCCCCATCGCTCCTTTGACGGCTAGAATGGGGGGGGGGGGATAAATTAATACCACTTTGTGGGGAATTCAACAGAGGTTGTCTCATGGATAGTGGCTAGACTCGCCCCCGCCATACGAATGGGGAATTTCCACCGCTGGCTCAGGGCCATAAACGGGAGATGTGCACCAATGCCTTAATGCACATTGGTGCAAAGAAATCACTTTGATTGCTTTGCAGTGCCAAGTGAAGCGTCTTCAAAGCGTGAAGGGAACACGAAGGGAAGGATGGTAATTGGCAGCACTCCTGGCTCTCTTAAGCCCCGCTCCCAAGAAGGATTATCAGGCAAAGGGGGAAAACAGCCACGTGTATACGACAAAGGGATACTGACTTAAAATCAAACGCCTTCTGTTTATCAGCTGCAATTAGGGCGTCCACTGCAAAGGGATGTGCACAACCGTAACGCTAAACGCACGCCCTGTTGCCCTCGGAGGATTGTTACATGACCAAGACATTTGAGGCTGAGTCGATCTCGGGGAGACTCAGGACCGGCTCAGATCATCGTGACTGGTGTTGGGTGTCCCTGGGCGGGAATCGAACACTGGTCCGCCCGGGTTCGCAGTGCAGCGCGCTAACCACTGCACCGCCGCTCCCCCTTTACCTACAACAACAAGCGCCATTCGCCACCAAGTGGCAGTGACGTCACCACGGCGCTTGTGCCAGGCTATATGCACCATAGGACCACGTGAATATACGTCAATACGCGGTGCTTTTTCTAGAAGACTTTGCTGTTTTTTCCCTGTATTTTTCTGTTGCGTGTAGTCACTTTAAGATGTTTTGTTGTTCATGTTTTTTTTTGTTGCGGTTGCACCCGATTCAAGAGCCGCATGGCTCACAGGGCTATACCTAATAAATGAAACTGAACTGAAGGCTCGATGGCAGGAGGTCACGGGACAGACCCAGGAGCCACGGGTTGCCTGACTTAGATGACTGGCAGATGCGCCAGATGTGCCAACCCCCCCCCCCCCCTACTGTGCCAACTCGCTGCGTTTTATCCGCGCGGCTCTCCGCTCGTTGTTGTGAGTATCGCTCCTCTGCCCTCCGCTGCTGTTGAGAGGGCTACTGCCTCCCGACTGCCCAGCAGCAGCAGCGTCCTTCACGAGCCCCCTTGTTCTTCACAGGGGCCGATCTTGACACCGCTGGTACCGGTCCATCGGCAAGTACTTCACCAATACCGATACTAGCCATTCGCCAACGAAGTGATGGTGACATTATCACGGCGCCTGTGGCTAGTCCAGGTTCAAAGACGAATACAAACACCCCCCCGTGTAGTTTAACACGTAGGTGTTCGCGACCAATATTATTCATAATAAAGGTTTTTGGTTTGGATCGCGTTATTCATAAATGTGGCGTAACGCTCCACCACCCGACACGGCCAATCAGCAAAAAAGTGTCACGTAGCCTTAACAGATTGCTGGGGCAAGTGCTGTTAGCGAGTAGCACCTATGACGGCCGGCACGGATACACGAGGGGGTGGATGGCCAGCACCACGCACGGCCGCCTTTGTTTCCCCAGCCTCAAATGAGTACCGCACCAGGTACTCATTTGAGGCTGAGTCGACCTAGGGGAGGCCCCAGGACGAGATCAGGGATTCCGTGAGCCGGTGATCGAACTCGGGCCGCCGGGTTCATAGCGGGTCAAACACAGCCTACACACAAACACAGCCTACACACAAACACAGCCTACAAACAACACACAGCCTACACACAAACACACAGCCTACACACAAACACAGCCTACACACAAACACAGCCTACACACAACTTACACACAAACACAGCCTACACTACATACACAGCTCCTACACAACAACACAGCTCCTGCGCGCACCGGCAACCCGGGCTGTGGGTGTGTGTGATGTGTGGGGTGTGTGTGTGGTGTGTGTGCGTGGTGTGTGTATGTGGTGTGTGTGTGGTGTGTGGGAGGGTGTATGGTGTGTGTGTGGTGTGTGTGTGATGTGTGTGTGTGGTGTGTGTGTGTGTGGTGTGTGTATGTGGTGTGTGTGCGTGGACTGTGTGTGTGTGGTGTGTGTGGTGTGTGATTTGTGTGTGTGTGTGGTGTGTGTATGTGGTGTGTGTGTGTGATGTGTGTGGTGTGTGTGTGGTGTGTGTGTGGTGTGTGTGTGGTGTGTGTGTGTCGTGTGTGTGTGATGTGTGGGGTGTGTGTGGTGTGTGTGGTGTGTGATGTGTGGGGTGTGTGTGTGGTGTGTGTGTGCGTGGTGTGTGTGTGGTGTGTGTGGTGTGTATGTGGTGTGTGTTGATGTGTGGGGTGTGTGTGGTGTGTGTGGTGTGTGATGTGTGGGGTGTGTGTGTGTAGTGTGTGTGTGCGTGGTGTGTGTGTGTGGTGTGTGTGTGTGGTGTGTGTATGTGGTGTATGTGGTGTGTATGTGGTGTGTGTGTGGTGTGTGTGTGTGGTGTGTGTGTGGTGTGTGTGTGGTGTGCGCGCACCTTGTGCCTGGCCACGACGTTCATGGCGAAGGTGCCGGGCGGGTAGGCGGCGGTGAGGCGCGCGTCCACGGCGGAGCGGTGCAGCGCGCCCCGCCTCGGCACGTCCACGAGCTCGGTCCGCGGGCGCAACACCACGGCGAAGAGTCCCAGCCCGTAGCACCTCGACTCGGCGCAGCTCGCCTGGGCAAAGAGGGGGGTGGCGAGGGAAGAGAGGCATTGAGGAGCGGTGACAGCGGCGGCAGACGGAAAAAGAAGCAGCTGTAACGGAAGATGCAGCAGCTGTAGCAGTAGCAAGCTGTAGCTGTAGCTGCAGGTGCAGGAGTAGTAGCAGCTTCAGCTGCAGGAGTAGCAGCACCTGCAGCTGCAGGAGTAGCAGCAGCTGCAGCTGTAGAAGCAGCTGCAGCGGCAGGAGTAGCAGTAGCTGCTGCAGCTGCAGGAGTAGCAGCAGCTGCAGCAGCTGCAGCTGTAGAAGCAGCAGCAGCTGCAGGAGTAGCAGCACCTGCAGCTGGTGCAGCTGGAGTAGCAGCGGCTGCAGGAGCTGTAAAAGCAGCAGCAGCTGCAGGAGTAGCAGTAGCTGCAGCTACAGGAGTAGCAGTAGCTGCAGCTGCAGGAGTAGCAGTAGCAGCAGCTGCTGCTACTTCTGCAGCAGCTGCAGGAGTAGCAGCAACTGCAGCTGGTGCAGCTGGAGTAGCAGCGGCTGCAGCAGCTACAGCTGTAGTAGTAGCAGCAGCAGCAGCTGTAACAGCAGCTGCTTTAGCAGCAGCAATAGCAGAGGTAGCAATGGAGGCAAGAAGCAGCAGAAGAAGCAACAGATGAAGCAATGTGGCTGTCGCCTGATGAAGTTAGTTGTAATTAGTGGCGAAACGTCGTGCTTGGATTGTAAATGTTGTGGCTTGGCTCTCCAACACACCGGTGTGCTGTACTAGTGACGAATTGGCACGTTCTTTTTTACGTGACAAACCTTGCTAACTGGCTGTGTAGGGTGGTGGCGGGTTTAACGACACATCTATATATTTTACGCTACCTATTAAACCTGTATTGTAGATTATATTGGTCGCAAAAGCCTACTGAGTGTTAAACAGATTAAGCAGATTCGGCAGCAGAAGCAAAACATGAAGCAGCAGTTGTAGCAGAAACAGCAGCAGCAGCAAACGCGACTGTAGCAGAAGCAACAGAAGAAGCAGCGAGAGCAGAAGCAGTTGTCGAAGCAGGATCGGCAGGAGCAGAAACAGTTCTTGCAGAAACAGCAGATGAAACAGCAGGTAGCAGTTGTAGCGGAAGCGGCAGTTGATGCAGTAGCAAGAAGCAGCAGCAGCAGAAGAAGAAGCGGCAGTCGCAGAAACAACAGAAGCAGTAGGAGCAGCAACAGCAGCAGCAACAGAATGATCAACAGCAGCAGAAAAAGAATCGGCAGCAGCACAGGTACCAATGTCAGTCGTCTCTTCACGGCAGTGGTATAGCAGTGTGTTTCTACCACTGTGTGTCCTGTGGACTCATGGGCGGGATTACCGGTCAATCCACGGGCTGATTATTGGGGCTGTGGATTGATCATGTTCGCGGAGGTATAAACGAAACATGAAATTGAGGGATGTTTTTGGCACTGAAGAGAAATGCAGTGGAAATCAGGACAACCCGCGTAATTGATGGAGGCACGTTTAATGTGCCATCAGTTATCGCCATTGCGACCTCGAGGCATGTTGTGCTTATTCAAGTCAAATTATTGAATAATGAATCACAGGCCAATTTGTCACGTTCGTTTTCCATATTTGTCAGCTTCCAATCACTTGATGCAAAACAAGGACTCATTTTCTTGCAAAACGCGGCCCCTTGACTGGCCTTACATTCAGCCCATTGATTGAAGGCTTAATTACCGGAGTGCTTAAAACCCGCCAGCTCTATAAATAAATCCAGTTTTAACCTCCGATAATCTACTGCAGCTCAACTCCAACTCGCAAACATCTCGGCCGTGTCTCGGCTGATATGCGGAGAGGAGAGACTGGGAATTAATTACTGCCATCATTTTAAAAAAAATGAACCGTACGTTATCATTAAATGCATCATTATCACGCCACATTACCCGCGCTCCAGATACGGTTTTGTGTCTTTGAGTAATTTACCCAACAATTTAGTTGCTATGTGAGTAACGTGCATGTCCACGGGGTAAAATGCGTTATTACAACCGCTCCACCCTTGTTGTGTTATGTAAATGAAATTCAGACTTATGGAGTATATAATTGTTTGCAATATGTATGTTGAAGTTCTCTCGCACAGTACGTAACCAACCGTGCGAAATGTGCCGGATAATCCCCAATCGCCGGAAAGGCTCTCCCCCTGAATCACCCCCGTCTCGGAACTGGCTTGATTCCACTCCGCCGTTCGCCGTGACCGCGAATCGAACTCGGCCCGCTGCCGGTTCGCGGGCGGAGTGCTCTCTCGCCGCTGCGCCCGCCGCTCCCTATCCCTCTCGAGCCGCCGATTTGCTCATCGGCGATTCGTGCACGCGCGCGTCACCTTGCGTCCCCCGTGGGACAATTCCACCGTCACCGACGCCAGCAGGTCCCACCGCAGCCCATCTGGTGAGACGCGCACGGCGACGTCGCGGATCGCCCCGCGGTAGCGCGCCGAGTACGGCACGGCCACGGTGATGGGGGAGGGCAGCTTGATCCGGGAGTCGAGGCAGCGAACGCTGACCACGTGGCTCACGAGCTCCTCGCCGTCGTCGGCCGCCACCGCGAGCGGGCTGTAGCGGCACGCGACCTCGCACGCCAGCTTGTTGGCCACGAAGAACGGAGCCGTCGCGTAGCACGCCAGCTCGGGTTCGAGCCCGGGTTCCGACGCTGCGAGAAGCCTGCGAGCGGGGATGGGTCGACAGGCTTGAGACGAGCAGGGCAGGGGCAGCGATTCGTTCCAGCTGCGGCATTCCCCGGAGAGCTGCTCCGGGAGTTATTTTGGCACCCCCGCTTCCGATTCCCCTACTGCAATTGTTTTTGTTTGTTTGTTTTTAACACGGGATGGTTATGGATGGGCGTACTTTGTATTCTAGTGGTAGTGCCTTACACCGATAATCTCCCACTCCAAGCCAGCCTCGGCAGCGTTGTGGAATATATCGAGTGAGAAATTAAGCCCTGGGAAGATGTCAAAACGAGGTCAATTCAACTGAAATGCCTTAATGCTCAAAGAGCCAGACTATCACATCTTGATCATTTTGCATTATTATCAGCATCATCATCAGCTGTGTAAGCGATGCGTCAATAAATATCGATGTATTTCGATTCGAAGTTTATTGCTCAGTAATGCCGTGTGTGACAATCGATTTGATATAATATATTGTAAGTGATGGGTTCACATTTCTTGTGCAGCCACTAGAGGCCGCTACATTCACTACATTCACCACGTTAAACGTAAAAAAAGAATGCCGTAGATTGTTTTAGGGCATTCTCTAAGTTGAGAAGTAGGAAGAGGACCTGGAAGGGAGTTTGAGTGTGATGAGAGGAAAGGGGTAGGAGAGTGGTCGGGCAGAGTTGAGCGCGATGAGAAGAACGAGGTCAGAGAGTGCATGGATGGCAGTAAAGAGTTCAGAATTAAATTTGATAATCGATTAAACGCTCCACTCACGCTCGCCGGCACCACCCGTTGGCCAATGTCTCATAGCCGTGGTCACCACGGGGAGTCCCCGCGTCCCCGATCTCATCCTCGCGCGGACGTTTATCCAGAATCCTGTCGGGGGGTCTCGCTCCTGCATCCCCAGGCCCTACCGAGAGCTGTCGTGCTGCGTCTGCCTGGCTCCCAGGGGGACACCACGCGCCGTTGACACCTCCCTTCTCATGACTCGCGTCTACAGATTTTGGATCAAGTCTGGTGATGGATAATGACGACGACGACGATGACGATGAGGTGGGCGCCGGTTCTGCGGCATCTATCTCGGTAAGAATACTCGTCGCTCTCTGCGCGTCGTGTGTACAATCTCCTCCGCCTCTCGCCACGGGGGCTCCTTCTCCGCGATGGGAGACGTCCTCTCGGCCCCGAATCGCGACTCCGCCGCCCGACGCCAGGGACGTCTCTGTCGGGAGCCCCGCCTCGCCCTCGCCATTCCCTGCGCGTTCCCGCGCCGTTTCGTTCCCGAAGGTGGGCGACTTTTCTCCTGCTCCCGCCAAGTTACCGGCAGCGTCCAGAGGAGACCCGTTCGAATGGGATAGCCGCGCGCCGCCTTCCCTCTCGATCCGTCTTCCTCGTCCTCCTCCTTCCTCCTCCTCGTCTCGCTCCTCAGGCAATGTTGTTCTCCCTCCACCTTGTTTCTCGTCGACTTTGTCGGTGCAGCGCGCGTCTCGAACGTTCCACGCCGCGTCCAAGCGCGAGGCCGCGTCTCCGAGGGCTTCGGCCAGCGAGCTCAGGTAGCTCTGGTGCCTGGCGAAATCTTCGCGCGCGGCAGACGAGAGAACAACCCGGATTTGAAACGCAAGGTTCCGACCAAAAATCGCACGTGGTTGACGTCTCCTGTTTGGGGAGATGGATGGATGGTTGGGCCCCGTGTTTACTTTTTGCAATATCCGCCGTGAGTGATCGATGTATGCGAGACTATTATCGTACGATGAAAATGTTGCCCGATAAAACGTTTAAATGTGACCGCATCTCTAGACGCCCTTCTGGAGAGTTGTAATGGTGTCCGCTATCATTGCCACCACCCATCGCGAGCATTCTTAACATCAATTGTAATAATCATTGTTTATATTTTAAAAAGCAAAGACAAGGATCCCCGTATAGCCTTAACAGACTGCTGGGTAAAGTGCTATGAGCGAGCACCTATGAAGGCCAGCACGGTATACGAAGGAGGGGTGGCTAAGACCACCCCCGGCCGCCTTTGTCTCCCAAGTGGCGACGTTCACACACCGCAACAGGTACTCATTTGTAAATATCACCACCACCATCATCATCATCACGATCTTCGCACCGCGCCTTCACAACACGCTTCACGCTCTTTGTGACGTATCGTGATCATCGTCGTCGCAGTTTGTATTAAACATGAAACATGCATGAATTATCACTTTAATGTGTGTACGTTACCGGTTGTAATGTATGGATCGGGTGCGTTGGACATTGACGATAGAAATATGAAACGGGCTGAGTAAGTGCGCAAAGGGGCGTACAGAGGTGCACGCTTTGACGTCCACTACGGAAAGAGGAACTCGTGGAGTTAGATGACGTACACAAGTCAGAGACTTATTGACTGTTCAAAAGAGTGACGTGGGGCCCTGGGCAGGACTTGGGGTACGATATACCGCTCGAAGAGACGGCGGGCCTTGGTCGAGAGAGGGGCAGCCAAAAGGATAGGAGGGAGGCGCACGAGAGAACATCGTGACGCGGAGATGAAGCAATGGACTCGGCTCGTGTCCGGGCGCCACGTGGCCCTTTGCATCGCGAAATCGCGAGAGACAACTTGGGAAGGGCCTTCATCCAGCATTGAAAAGCACACGGCTGATGATGATGACGCTGACGCTCTATGGACAACGGCTCTGACGAGCTCTCACCATCGGTGCCGTTCGCTGTCCGTTCCTCTCGAGGGACTTGTGCCATGAGGTTCAGGGCGCGCTCCAGGGCCCCCCTGCACCGCTCCACGTGGCCGCGCAAGGCCTCCGCGTCCCACCGAGCCAAGGCGGCCAAGGTGGCCCCCATGCCGGACAGCCCGGGCGGCACTCGGCCCGGGTTGGCCCGCTCCTCTGCGGCCAGGAACCGCTCCAGGGCGTCACCATCATCGCCGCCACGATCCGACGCAGGGGATGGTTCCATCGCGCGTATGCTGTTGTGCGCGTGTGTGTGTAATAGCACTTGCCCCAATCGTCTGTGTAGACTGTACGGGTGGTCTTTGTCTTTGCGCGTGCGCTCGCTTGTGTCTGTGCGTCTTAATGCGTCTTACGCGCAAATGAGGCGTCGTTGTACGTACGTGTCTTTGTTTACACGCGTGCGTAGGTATGCACGTGTGTGTACGCATGTATGTGTGCGCGCACGTGTCCGTATGTACGTGGGTGCATGTGTTCACGCCGTGTGTACTCGTGTGTGTGTACACACGCGTGTGTGTGTGTGTATACACACACGCGCGTGTGTGTGTGTACGTGCCGCCCTACCGCCTTCTCCTAACGCCTTGCCAACCTCGAAAGCTGCTCGCCAACAGATCTTTCTCCCGGCAGTCGATACGCGTATTTGGGTTATCTTAAAATTAGATTTTCTAACGACATTCGCTTAATTATTTAAGTTGTCCGCAAATGTATGCAAATACAAAAGCATTGTTTTTTTTACGAGTGAACTTCCATCTCAAAACTTGCGGACGTTTGGGTGCACTGTTGTTATGTACTTACTGTGTTACGATACAAACGAACTCCACAAAAGCATTCAAAAGTGCGATTCCGCTAACAGCGCAAACTAAAATCAAATCGTTCGTTAAAAAAAAAAAGAAACCCCGATTACAAACAACCTAACAATATCCCCAACAACTCAGTTGAACGTTAAACTCGCCAGCAACTAAAGACGCGTGGTAGACACACGGAAATCGCTGCAGATCGCGACTTACGACGAAGACCGATTGATCATCGACACTCGAGTTGTTTCATGCTCTGCGTTGTCGTCTCCCGGACAGTCCGTGACTCAGGTGAAACTCAGGTGGGGGAAGCGCACAGGTGGTCTGCGCGAGACCCCGTGAGCGCAGTGGGGGGAAGTCGCAGGCATTTGTGTACCTTGGCACATTTTTTTTTGCTTTCAGACACTCATTCAACCCCACGTGAGTTGTGGAGAGTGGGAGGGGGGGGCAGTATCGGTAGTGTTAGGGATAGGGAGGGAGGGAGCGGGTGAGAGGGATAGGAGTGGCAGTGTGAGGTTATGGGTGGTAGTGTTGGGGGACACCTCCGATGAGCACGGTTGGCTACGTACATAGATGAGAGGGGTAGAGTGGTAGTGTTGTGGGTGGATGAGAGGGGTAGGGTGGTAGTGTTGGGGTGGATGAGAGGGGTAGAGTGGTAGTGTTGGGGGTGGATGAGAGGGGTAGGGTGGTGGTGTTGTGGGTGGATGAGAGGGGTAGGGTGGTGGTGTTGGGGGTGGATGAGAGGGGTAGGATGGTAGTGTTGTGTGTGGATGAGAGGGGTAGGGTGGTAGTGTTGGGGTGGATGAGAGGGGTAGGGTGGTAGTGTTGTGGGTGGATGAGAGGGGTAGAGTGGTAGTGTTGGGGGTGGATGAGAGGGGTAGGGTGGTAGTGTGGTGGGAGATGAGAGGGGTAGGGTGGTGGTGTTGGGGGTGGATGAGAGGGGTAGGGTGGTAGTGTTGGGGGTGGATGAGAGGGGTAGGGTGGTGGTGTTGTGGGTGGATGAGAGGGGTAGGGTAGTAGTGTTGGGGGTGGATGAGAGGGGTAGGATGGTAGTGTTGTGGGTGGATGAGAGGGGTAGGGTGGTGGTGTGGGGGTGGATGAGAGGGGTAGGGTGGTAGTGTTGGGGGTGGATGAGAGGGGTAGGGTGGTAGTGTGTGGGTGGATGAGAGGAGTAAGGTGGTAGTGTTGGGGTGGATGAGAGGGGTAGGGTGGTAGTGTTGGGGGTGGATGAGAGGGGTAAGGTGGTAGTGTTGGGGGTGGATGAGAGGGGTAGGGTGGTAGTGTTGTGGGTGGATGAGAGGGGTAGGGTGGTAGTGTGGGGGTCGATGAGAGGGGTAAGGTGGTGGTGTTGTGGGTGGATGAGAGGGGTAGGGTGGTAGTGTTGGGGTGGATGAGAGGGGTAGGGTGGTAGTGTTGGGGGTGGATGAGAGGGGTAAGGTGGTAGTGTTGGGGGTGGATGAGAGGGGTAGGGTGGTAGTGTTGTGGGTGGATGAGAGGGGTAGGGTGGTAGTGTGGGGGTCGATGAGAGGGGTAAGGTGGTGGTGTTGTGGGTGGATGAGAGGGGTAGGGTGGTAGTGTTGGGGTGGATGAGAGGGGTAGGGTGGTAGTGTGGGGGTGGATGAGAGGGGTAGGGTGGTAGTGTGGGGGTGGATGAGAGGGGTAGGGTGGTAGTGTTGGGGGTGGATGAGAGGGGTAGGGTGGTAGTGTGGGGGTGGATGAGAGGGGTAGGGTGGTAGTGTGGGGGTGGATGAGAGGGGTAGGGTGGTAGTGTTGGGGTGGATAAGAGGGGTAGGGTGGTAGTGTTGGGGTGGATAAGAGGGGTAGGGTGGTAGTGTTGGGGGAGATGAGAGGGGTAGGGTGGTAGTGTGGGGGTGGATGAGAGGGGTAGGGGGGGGCAGAGTTGGTGGAGGCTTTGCGCGTTTGACATTTCCGAGTGGTCTCCATAGCACCGCGACGACGCTTGCACACATTCACACATACACACACATACACACACATTCACACATACACACACACATACACACACACACATTCACACACGCGTACATACACACACATACATTCACACACGCATACATACACAAGCACATACATACACACATTCACACAATCGTATATACACACATGCATACACAAAACAACAACCGCCATTCGCCACTAAGTGGCGGTGACGTCACCACGACGCTTGTGCCAGGCCATGTGCACCCTGAGGCCACGTGAAGTGTCGAACGCCCGCTGGCAGGAGGTCACGGGGCAGACCCAGCAAGTGCCACGGGTCGACTGACTGAGATGACTGAGATGACTGGCTGATGCACCACCTGTGCCTCCTACTGTGCCAACTTGCTGTACTTTAGCCACCCGGCGCTCCGCTCGTTGTTGTGAGCGTCGCTCCTCCGCCCTCCGTTGTTGTTGGAGGGCGACTGCCTCCAACTGCCCATGGAGTAGCGTCCTTCACGAGCCATATACACCCCGCCAGCTACAGATAAAACAAATCAGATGTATTTTTGTGAGGTTACCAGAACCATGACGGATGTCTTTGCAAAGTCAATGTAATAGACCGTGCTGCCGTCCTCACACACGCCGCCTGCGTTGGAGTTCACGTTCCAGGTTACCACGTGCTTTGAACGCTTTCGGAAAAGAATGGCCCAAAAAAGTCAACACACATCTGTCAATATTACTATGGCTTTAAAAAAATAAATATATGCACAGTATAATAAAGCGACGTTTAGGGTACTGGCCCTATCTTCGTAGCGCATAGAAAAAGGACCATTCCCCGAAACGTCGTATTTTGTTAAAATAAACGTCACCTTTTAAGACCACAGTTTTTTTTTGACGAATGTGTTGAGGTTTGTTGTTGTTCATTGTGCTTGTGCATCACTGCCAACGCAGCAGCAGCATCACCAAATAATGGACATCTGTAAATAAAAAGGGCTTTATAGCTCATCGGATTCCTCGAGTATAAATAAATATTCTGATGTTGAGCTCAGGTTGAAAGCGTTATTACATTGGCGCTGTGTGTCTGTTTGCAAGTTGAGAGGGGGGGGGGGGGTATGGGGACACGATCAGTCTCGTAAATGTGATTAAATATAAACGAAACTTGAATACAAAGTTCCGCTGATATTCGGGACATACCCTGTAGACACTCGGTTACGTTGATGGAAGCGATAACCGTTCCACCCTACCTCCCCCTTGTCGGAGCTATGTTATCTGTCGCACACGATTTGGATACAAAAAAAAACATTTACGGTAGCATTCCCAACATTTTGGAACCACGTAATTTCGTCCCTTTTGGCATCTCCATTCTGCCATCTCTGTCCTAATTTAAATTGACTTGAGTGAGAAACATCGCGAAAGTGTCAATGTAATTTTGACATCATTGCAATTATTGTTTAGGTGTTACTTTTTGGGTTTACATCTGTAATTGTGGAATGCTTTGATGATGTCTGCCGGCCGAGTCGCGCTCTTGACAAAGAGCTTCTTAGCTCTACGGGCTTTACTCGAGGAATAAACTTCTAATTCTGTTTTCTGCAATCGATATGGATGTTCGCCTTCCTGTGTGGCTGCCTCGACCGCGACCGTTATCGCCAATGACATGCTTCCGAGGACAATCTCGTGCTGGAAAGTGTTACAGAAACCCACGCGTGTGCATTATTTTTCATCCTTCATTTTAATAATTCGAAATCACAATAGATATTTATATTTCGTGAGCAGTGATAGTTTGTTTGCTGTTGGCGAGTTGCGACAATTCCACGTTCCTTTTGGCCTCACCTTGAAAACCAAATCGATAGCTTTATTTACTATAACAATTGTGGCTGTGTACCGCAAAGTAAACCCATGTACTCTTTGTTTTTTTTCGGTAAAGCCACGTATAAATAAGGAATAATAAAATAACATAATAGCGTACGACGTTTCGGTTGCAACACAAGCAGCCATCATCAGGTACAGAAGAGCTAAATTTACGAGAGAGGGGAACACACATAACCTCAGATGTATATACAGACACCCAAGTAGGGGGAACTAACACAGACACAACAGTGAAGTCGCCTTAAAAATGTTGTCCCATTGTCTCTCAGCCTTACCTTCTCTGCCTATTTAAGGCGACTTCCCTGTGTGCGTGTCTCTGTGCTGGTTCGCTCTACTTGGATGTCTGTGTGTGTGTGCGGTCTGTATTTTGAGTTTCATACTTAACTTGCAATTTAGCAATCTTTGAAATAGCGTGATCAACCGGACTATGCGTTAATTGTGTTTTGACCGACCGTCTGTGTTGCTTTATATGGTTTCCAAAATTTTGCTAAACCCTGTTTGTTTTGTATGCTTCTCTCTCTGTGTCCCCTGTTGTATCTGTGTTAGTTCCCCCCTACTTGGGTGTCTGTATATACATCTGAGGTTATGTGTTTCCCCTCTCTCGTAAATTTAGCTCTTCTGTACCTGATGA